CATTATATAGTTCAATATATTTAATAGTTATTTTGAATAACTACTAATAGACTATTTAGTGGTTATTTTGAAATAATTGCTAAATATTTTTTGATTATCCTAGTGAAAATTGATCAAAACTAGGAAAGACTATTTAACAATTTTTTCTCCAAATAATTGTTGAATATTTTGAGACTATTTAGTGATTTATTTGAAATAATTGCTAAATAGTCTTTTGATTCAATCTTTGAACTAAAAATTAAAAAAAAATTAAAATTTTTTGTTAAATAACCATTATATATATATATATATATATATATCTAAACTATATAGCTATTAAAAACCGTTAAGTTGAGCCTTGATTATATAGTACCTGACTATATAGGCAAAAATAACCACTATATATAGGGCCCTTTTTTTAGTAGTGACATTGTATTAAGAGTACTATGTTCCACATTTCAAACAGATGTCCTGCATTGGATGTACATGAATTAAACACACTAAGTACAAACATGCATGACAACATACTACAACCCATACATAAAAATAAAATTATCCATCTAAACCCGGAGTACATTGGTGGTGTATGTTAATCTCTAAAATTTTATGTTATTTCATCACATTTTCCTTATATTCTAATTCATTTTGGCTCAATTGCATATGTTTTTATTGGTCAAATTTGAAAAATGTACATTTTATTTTGGGTTTGTATTCTTGGCTTTGATTTGATATTTTTTTAGCCTAATTTTGTGTTATTTTGGTTAAAGACTTAATTAGAAGCATTTTTGGAGCTTTGTGGATATTTTTGGAAGGCTTTTGGATGAAGAAATCAAGTATAAAGTGAATAATTTTCATGACCTGTTAAAACAGTGTAAACCTACTAAAGTTGTCCCAAAGTCGTGAATTTCGTTCTCGACTTTCACTATTGTCAGAAAATGCTGCATTTTATTCAGAGAGCTTGACCCAAAAGGCATTCTACACACTTGAAGACACTTTGCGAGCTTTGTTGTGTTAGGGTTTGAGCTTTAGATGAGTTAGGTCTAAGAGTTGAAGCTTTGAAGAGATTTGAAACTCCATTTCTTCAATTCCTTTATTTCTTCTCCATTTCTCTTCTTGTAATCTTGTAATGGCTATAAATATCTTGTGTATTTGTAGCTTTTTGACGTAAATGAGTAGGTAAACTTTTTACTCTAAGATTATTTTGAACTCTTGTATGTATTAACATTATGTTTCTCCTCTCTTTTTGTGATTAATGATGTGTGTGTGTGTATGTTTATTTTACTCTTTTCTTAATGCTTCTAAGTGATTGGCCACTATTTAGATGTTGGGTTCGCTTGTCCAAGTATTTTTAAAACCCTAAATTAGCACTTATTTTCATTAACAACATTTATGAGAGGAGGTAATTTTGGTGTTAAGGAATGTAAGGGGGATAAATAATTCTAGATCTCAATTTGTGTTTGAAGTTTGTGAATCAATTACTTTTCTTTATTTTCTAATATTTTATGTTGCAAAATCATTTTTCACCAAATTACGTTTGGCTCAACTTAGTTGAACCCACTTAGTTTTTTATTTAATCATCATTTTTAAATAAGTTCTCGAGGGAACAATACTTTACTTTTATTATTTTATTTGCTATAACCTGTGCACTTGTGGTGAGCAATAGTGCAACATCACAGCTTAGCATATTTTGATAATTTTGTCATACGCCAATAACATAGTTCTTGACTCCAAGCTACATTTTCTCTCCCTTTGCTCTACATCCAGGACACCATGAACTTGTTCATTAAACATGCATGAAGATGTAACAAAATTGACATATATGTACACCATAGGCAATTCATGTGAATTGGTTGGTTATTTTGTGTTTCATAATACACATGGGTGGGGTTCAATGAATAATACCGTTTTTAATATTGGAGAAAGTAGAATAGGCAACAGGTAGGGTCACGTGAACTTTTATTACTTTGGTCATCTATGGAAGAACTTGGTTCGTAGGATCCTGGGTGCACTAAACATTGCAAATTTAGCACCTTGTTGATGCGGAAGGAGCTAGGCACCTTCATGTGCATCAGACATGCCATTGGAGTAAATACTCAGTTAGAGTGATATAAGCAATGCTTTGAAACCTAGATTGGACGTCGAACTAAAAAGAGTAATAGGTTGTGGTTCTTATGTTTAACCAATTAGATAGGTAATTGGATTGGTGGCACAAAAATAAATAAAAATAATATTTATGTACACAAATATATAAATAAAACATTAATTCGTCAATGGTGTTTGGGATCTCGATGCTAAAAGCTAGACGCCTAGACTGTTAAAGTTGGAGGCAAGACATGTTGACATGAGCTTGTGATCTCAAAGCAAAATGCTAGAGCTAGAGGCATGCTATCATGGGATAACTCATGAGCTTTCGATCTCAATACTAAAAGTTAAATTGCTAGAGCTAGAGGCAGAGGAGGGAGGAGAGATCAAAGATTGAGTCCAAGTTATGGAGGAGAGATCATACATTACAGAAGAGAATATGAAAGAGAACTAGAGATTAAAGAAGAAAAATCGTGACTCTGAATGACTAAGCTTGAGTTTTTTTTAATTTTTTACGCTTTGGATCGGGTTGACCTCTTTTGGTCTTCAGGTCAAATCTAGTTATTTTAAAACCACTCGAGTCAACTCAATCCAAATGCTCAGGTGATCTAAATGGTGGAATCGAGCCTTTTGTTGAGCAGTAGATCAAACTAGTCCAACCGTTTGGTCCAATCCAGTTCGAGTTTCAAAATATTGGATGTAAGTTTTCAAAAAATCCTTTAATTCAATTTCCTTAAATCATTGTGATTGCCTCTGCAATTGGCTCAGCTTTCGAGAGAAATATGGAATGCATTAATTCATAGTTCTAGTTGCCAAATAAATATTAAACGCTTTCATATTACATTTACGAATATTAATTAATATAAAATATAAAAATTTTATAAACTACCTTATATATGTTGTGAACGATATTTATTTTTCTAAGCATAATTCATAAGTAGATCTGGGTTTGGTGTAGAATTTGAAAAAAAAATTCATTTTATTGCTTATAATTAACTTGTATAACTTGGTAGATTATTTTATTTTATACCCCCTCTGTCTCAAATTATAAAATAATTTTAAAAAAATTTTGTTGCCTTAAAATATAAAATAATTTGAAAAAAATAAAATTTTATTAATAATATTTTTTTAATATTACCCTTTAAGTTTTATTAACAATATACTCTCTCCAATCCTTTTTATTATTCACATTTGAGAAGTTTTCTTCGTTATTTATGTAAGTCATTTTGCCTTGTTTTATGTAACATGATGTACAATCCCAATGCTACTTTCCAGGAAATTCTAAAAGGAAGTACACTATCTCAATTCCAAAAAAAAATCTTTCCACATTTCAAATATTCCCTCCAATCCAAATTATAAGTTAATTTTAGACAAAATTTTACATACTAATAAATTTTATTAAATACATTTAACGACCTTATTTTTTTAAAATAAAAATATAAACATTTAAAAATATTTCTCATTTAATAACATTAAATCTACACTTAATTAATATTAAATAGAGAGACAGAAAAGATAATATTGAAAAAAACTTATTTAATGAAACATTAATCTTTTCAAAGTGTCTTATATTTTGGATGGATAAATTTTTTTTAAAAGTATTTTATAATTTAGGATGGAGGAAGTAACTCTTTTTTAAATTTAGGTGCAAAATTAAAAATTTTTTATTTTTTAAAAAATTTATTATTCTGACTAACTCACCTTCGTTTTTGTGAGTTAACTAAAAGTGAATTATAAAAAAAATGAAGGAATAATTATTAAATATGCAAGAATATTTTTAAAAGTTTATAATTTTATTTAAAAAAAATAAGTTTATAAAGTGTTATCATTATGTTTATTGATATGCCTAATTTTATATCAAATTATGGGGGGTTTTTAATTTATATGTTTACATATCCATGAAATCTACACACGCAAACCTTTGTCAAGTGATGATTTCCCTCTCCTTCCCACATTTATCCTTATCCAGCAGGAGGAAAATACACTTTTTTTCCTCTTATTTCCTCCTCCAATTTTCTCTCCCCTCAAGATTTTTTCTCTTGCAACAAATATATCTCAAAGAAAGTACTGGTGATAATTTGAATAAAAATGAATTTAAACCATGATAATAAATAAAGGTTTTTTTTGGGAACATGACAATTAAATCCCCAAAATTATATAAATGTCAATTTAGTCCCTCAAAATACCATAATTTCATTAAAATCCTTAAAACTTTTATGTTAATAAATTTTAAAGTGAAAAAATATTTTACCCTTATTAAAAATAATAAGCCTCAATTACTAGTTTTACTTAAAAAATAATAACTTTTATTTTGTAAGTTGCAAGAGTTGAACAAGAGATCATAATTTATAAAGTGTAATTTCTGTTATTGAAAAACAGCCCCATTACAACTTTTACCTAAAGAATAACAATTTTTGTTCTGTGAATTGCAAGAGTTAAACAAGAAATTATAACTTGTCAAGTATAATTTTTATTATTAAAATATAAGTTTTCAAAATAACAAATTTCAATCATAACTTTTATTTAAAAAATTATAAGAATTGAATACAAAATTATAACTTGTTAATAAAGGTAATATAGTCTTTTTCATTTAAAATTTATTGACACAAGGATTTTTAGGGATTTCAATAGAATTATGACATTTTAATGGATCAAATTATTATTTATATAATTCAAAAGAATTTTATTATTATTTTTCCTTTTTTTGCCATAATAAAAAATTAATTAATAATTAAAAAGTGCTAACGGTGAAATAAACAGTGAAAAAAATACTTGTGGATATATTTTAGGAACGCAAGGCCCGATCTAGCAACAGATGGTTTACGGGAGAGGCTGAGGCGATAAAGCAAGCTGGAACAAACCAGGGAGTATAAATCCGAGAGGCTTGGAGTTGGTTTCGAAGGTAAATTTCATGGGTTCTGACATATTTTATTCTGATTCTCCTTTATATTTCAATTGTAGCTGAATTACGAAGGGGAAGCAAGATTGTTCCGAGTAGGGAATTGGACTTATGGTCTTTTGAAGAGTTTGGTTTTTGCGTTCGCACAAAGTCGCTATATCGTCCCCTTCTCAGTCATTGTATTTTGAATTGTTTATGAGAGGGACCGGTTTAATAGTGTTCTCCCTGTAGCACTAAATTATCGTTTTAAGTTTGTTCAATTGGTATTTTGAAGGTCTGGTGGATTATGATCTTAGGATTAATTATGTGAGTTCTGAAACTTAATCTCTATTGTTGTCTTGCATAAAATTCCAAGCTTGCCTTTCGATTTCTTTCACCATGTTTCAATTAGATCCGTAGTGTGATTTTGTGCGAATTAAAGGCGATTAATCTTGCCTTCTGATTAAGCTTTGTGCGAAAATGCTGGGCAAATAACTGTTTTCTTATAGTTCTTCATATAATCTCATTTTTGGTTTTTAGTTGACTTTGTGCTTTGCAACCGGAATGCTTACTGTTGATATTGTTGGGATGGTAGAGTTTCTTTTATTTTCTTTTTCTAAAGGATTTCTTGGGGTCAAAATACTGTTGCCTTCAATGCTCTGTTCTTGAATCCATAAGGGGGCATTGGCCGTGAGGGTGATTATTATGGTACGATCATTGGTGGACTGTCTTTAAGCACTGCAAAATAAATAAATATTTAAAAAAAATGGCTTGATTTGCTAGTTGGTAAGCATACATTGTATGAACTTCAATCTTGTGTTAAAGCTTGTTTTCCCAAATAAAACAGTCCCTGCAAGTTCCAACAGCATCCTGATGAGCATGGGCTGGTGCTTGTCCCTATTTTAAGCTTGAGGAAAGGATCCTTTGGTTTTGGGTTTGCATGTGAAGATTGTCCTTGCTGCTGTGAATGGATTAGTTCTTTTTTGGCTTGATGAAATGATCACTTTGCCTCAACTTTGCGTGAGAAAAGCTTCTTGTAGTGGCTGTAAATGTGTAGTTACTGTTTAAGTTCTTAAATGTCGCATGTTCATATACTTTTCTGCATCAATGGTTTAGTTTCGTTGCTGCATGGGCAGACTTTGTTTGAGGTTTTAAAATTGACCAAATACCCTCATATTTCTGATTTTAGGTAATGGAAATGAATCAATGATTGTATTAGTTCCAATTCCAATCTCCATATGCGTGTGTGTGTGACTGTAATCAAAGAGAAAGCACATGAGTGAATGAGACTTCCTCTTGTTTTTCCCGTTTTTCTGTCTTTGCTAGTTTGATACACTGCAGAAAGGAAACTCTGAAGAGAGCAAGAACCTTTTTTTTTTTTTTTGGGGGGGGGGGGTGGAGAATAAACATGGTATCAAACTATCATTAGACTTGGTTTTGGGTAGCATAGATTGGGGAAGATTTCCTTACACTCCTTGATTTAAATTTTTGAAGTGTGATGTTCCTAAGAAATTTGAAGTTTCTGTGTCACTTTGTGGAACTTAGTCCTTTTTAGGACTAATTCGAGGGGATTTCCGTGCATCATATGTGTCCATATATATCCCTAACTCCCTCCTTCCCTTTGCATGTTGTGTGTTTTGGGGGCGTATACAAAGCATACAACAATGAGCAACAGGTATTTACATTCATATAATTATGTGGGAGTTAGTTATATTAGAAGACATTTTAAAACTTAAAATATGATGATCCTGAATTCATGATGCTATTGTCATTGTAAGGTGTCTTTATCAAAATATACACCTTTTCCTTTCTCTTGCTTGTGCTTTCGTGTCTCTACTACAAAGTTCATTTCGTAGTGGTCCAAGGGATTTTAATTTTTGCACTCACGCTTTACTGTTTTCCTCATTGTATTAAACAATAGGAAGCAATGGGCGAGTTTAGAGTGCTTTTTAGATTCAAAGAATTTGATATTTTTAACTAAATGCAGAGAGGGGCCTAATTTTTGGTTGCTACAGCTAGAATAACAATGTATAAGGCTTGTTTGCCACTCATAATGATTACCAAATGTTGACCATTTTAGTTTTGCATGAAGTATCACTTACCTTTCTTTCTTTTTCTGCCCTGACCCTTGTGTTTTCCTTCTATTGAGCTCATCAGGTTACTTCGGCATGGGAAACAAGCCAGCAAAGCAAGAAAAAGAAGATGTGATATTATTAAAGGTTGTCCCTCCTTTGGACCGGGCATACATAAGATGGCTTGCTAGAGATGTCGCGAGAATTCATGGCTTTACTCCTAAAGGTATTCGTGCTGTGAAGCCTCCAGATCATTATATTGAATACATGCAGTTGAATGGATGGTTGGATGTGAGTTTGGATGATCCTGATCTTGCCCATTTATTCAGGTAGACTGTTTCCTTGTTGGCTAAATGATAAAAACACCAAAAGGGAAAACAAAGACAGCGAAGTTGTGTCATGTAGACTACCCAGGAATTAATGCTTCATTAAGATTTCCTACACTGTATAGCAGCTAGTCAAGTAGCAAAAGAGTAACTGTTTTATGCATGAATGTATTTAATTTCTATGTGTTCTCTGTTAGAACAACTTGTTTTCACTGCAATAATATGCTTGAACTAGTTCCCTCTATAAATGGCCTTGAAATATACCATAGTTTCTTTTTTTCTTTTTTGATAACAAACTGAAAGCAATTAGCACCAAAAGGCTACAAGCAGTTAACAAAAACCGGAGGGTAGGATCCCTCATCATGCACCAAATCTTGTAACAAGTTTGGTGGATGATCAAAAATACACAAAATATCCTCAAAGTTATGAGAATTCTTAGCTAGGTAATCAGCATACACATTTTCTTCATGATCCATATGATGAATTTCCAGAGTCCCTTCTCTATGCATCAGTGATTGAGCATCCGCAATGACATTTCTAAAAGGGTGTTCATTGCTACAATCTCGAGAGAGAAGGTTCACAGCTTCAATAGAATCAGTGCAGATATTAATAAGTCACATCAAATTGTTTAAATAAGTCCTCATACTGGTGTTCCAAGTTGGTTTATCAATTCATAGGTGGCCAATTAACTCCAATTAACTCCTTTAATAAATCATTATAATGGGGTTAATTAGAAGAACATAGTTACATTGTTCACTACAGACACTTTATCTTGATGCTTTCAATGTTTTGGGTTGTACTACTTTCAAGAAATATACTATGCTTCCCAGAATGTGACGTTCTTCACCTGTGGTAATGCCCTTAACTTACTTGGGTTTAAGGTTTTCATAAGTTATTCATAAATTTAATTTAGAGATCAGTATGCCAAATACTTTATCTTATACATCCATAAAGATCTAAAAACTTAGTGAAATTTGAATCTTGAAACTACAGTACATGGCTCAGGAGCTAGAGATGAGAAAGAGAGAGCACTCTCTCACTTTGATAAAAAAATTAGGGAAAATTAATCTTCTAATACTCCTTTTGACTCACTTAAAATTCAGTCTCTCAAGTATGACTCTGTGCAACTCTGTCCCTATATTTTTGACTCATTTAAACTCAGCTCCTAATCTTTCCATCATTTATAAATTTATCCTTGTCATCCATAACTCATGTTGAGTCATCACTAAGTTATTCTACAGGGAAAAAATGAATTACAAACATCATTAAAAGTTGGTTTTGCGGCTCCAACTTAGTTCGATTTGAATTTTGAAATTAAAAAAAAAAAAAGTCAACCGTCTTTGCTAAAAAATGCTTTAGCTTATTCACCAACTAATTCAACTTTCCATTGAACTCCAGAGCCACGTTCTTAGGTTCCTCCTCTGCTTCACACATCCATGCTTGTCTAGAATGTTGATGGTGTTCAGTTAAGTATTAATTATTTTCTTTATCTTTTCCTTAAAAGTGGCATCGTCAAAGCCAATACTTGCAGAAAACAAACACCAACAAAAAATAATTCCTCTGCTTTGTTCCTTGTGTGTTTGCTTCCATTGCTAAAGTTGCCAAAGAATTCCTTGAAACACATGAAATTCCTTTCTCCTCTGCTTGACCAGCTGGACAGTTTCTATCCGGTACTCATCAGTTGCTGCTAAGGCGGTGGATGTTGGGGCAGAGGCCACGGTGCTTTTGATTTTCGAGTAACATTATGTCTGGAATTATCGAGTCAAACGAGTTCACAAATATTGAGATGATATTTCATGGTAATTAGAATTTACCATGTAAGTAGTTTAGTAAAAATAATTTACTATAAAAGAAGTTAATAAAAAAAATTTACAAGGTTAGGTGAGATTAAAGAAATGTATTTAAAATAATGAATTTAAATTGATATATAATTGGTTGAGATTGAATGTTGGGCTCATCTTGTGGTAATGGTTTGGGCTTTTATTGTCTTTAGCTCAATGGATGGTAAAACTTTTAAGATTCCAGATTTTATTAGACGATAGGTTCTTGATAAAATTTTATATTATGTGTATAATATATGAAAATAGAATAGATTAAAGATAATATGAGAGCAGGACGACACATGAAGAACGAACCAAAGAGAATTTTAAATCAATGTTTTAAAAAACTGAACTGAAAAAAGTTAGTGGGTTTTAGTTTTTGTAATTTAATTAATTAGACTGAGTGACGGTTAGTGATGTAATAATTAAATAAAAATAATATAAAATGCATATATAAAATACAATATGTTTTGTTATTAAAGAAATAGCATGTGACCATAAATCAACAATATTATAAATTATAATTTTATAATTTATCAAGCATAGGTGGTTCTTGGTTAAATTAAATATAAATAGACTTAAAAGTATTTGCATTTGCACAAAAATGAAGTTAGGGGTTTAATTTTTGAATTTTTTCCCTCTTTTTTAAGAAGAATTTAAGCTATTTTTTTATATTATGTTTAGAATCATCTGATTTTTTAAAAACCATTTTAATTTTCAGCTCAACTCTAATTCAATCCAATTTAATCATGAAAAATAACGTTTTTGGTTCAAACCAAACTATTAACGACTCTAGTCATCCAACTAGTCCGACCATTCATTTGGTCTGGTTTTTAAAGTAATGATTTAAATAATAATTACTTCTCATTCCAATAATATAGACAACTTTACAACATTTCACATAATATGGAGCTCTTCATCACCTGCGGCAATCAATGCCGTTGACTTCGGTCAACAGAGTATATATTTGAAACTTGAGTTCGAGAGGTTTTATTCAAAAATTTATAGCTATAGATCACTATGTGGTATACAAACACAATTATCTTTCTTCTGAACATCCGCAATAATGATCCAAACAAGATGATGAAACTTATCTTGGAACTTTATCACAATATTCCAAGTCAAAATTAGAGATACTTTTGCAGGAAAAAGTTCAGAATTAGAAGCAACGAGCTACCTCAGATCTACCTCAGATCCATGTTGATCTATTCAGGAAATGAGACGTCGGTTAAATCCTCTCTGTAAGGAGCGTGACTCAGTTCCAATTGGCCATTATTAGGATTCATGAATCCTTTTTCCATGTGGGTTTGTACTGTGGGGTCGTTCTTGGTCTCAATGTATGTCTTCACGGTGTCTTTTCTTAGGGTTAGGTATATTACAGCTGCGATGTAAATTGCCATCAAAGGGAACACTATGATCCCAATGAACACATTTGCCACCTTTGGTAGACTGTTATGAATCAGCCAACCCACAAATCCTGTACTTAGGTAATACACATTGATCCCAATGATCCCTGCCCCAAGAATCCATGATATTATGATGATCTGCACGTAGTTAATTATAATTTTGTCACTTCTTTTTACATTTTGATATACACAATAGGAATTGGCTTTCCTCTACTGACTTCCTCCTCCACTACCCCTTCTCTTCAAATCTAGATGGTTTAGAGTTAAAGTCTTTAATTTTTATTATTTATTTTATATTTATTAAAATAAAAATTATAAATTTTTATTGGATCATCAATTTTTACAGTCTAGATTTAATATAGATGGTTAGTGTTAATTTTTTAAATTTTTATAAATTGAATATGTAGATTGAATAGTGCAGATTTAATATTAATTTTTATAATTAAAAAAATATTTTAATCATACAATATTGAAAATAAAGATAATCTCCTAACATGAACTTTCCAGAAAAAATATTTTTTAAAGAAACTACAAGTTAAAAATTTTAAGTTTGAAGTGTTCAAAGTAAATTTGTATAGTTAATTTATAAAAATTATAAAATATTTTAATATTAAATTTAAACAATCTAAATCTAAATTTAGGTTGATCACAAATTTATTAAATTTTTTATAAATTTTTATTTTACTAAATATAAAATAAAAATTTTAAATTTAGACTGTTCAAAAATACAAAGGAGGGGCTAGTAGAGGGGAAGTTAGAGTAGAAAAACCGAGTCCTACACAATGGATCACACAAAGATGAAAGAGAGATATAGAGAAGAACATATAGCTCACAATTATAGAATTCTTGTGAGGACCCATCTTGGTGCTGCTGCTGCTAAACTTGAGAAGTGGGATCAAAGCGAATGGAAGCTCAAATGAAAGTATCATCTGCAAAATCACCTCTATTATATATTTTACCATCCTCACAAATTTAACATAATCAGCCAAAAAAAAATGGTGAAAAGGAATGTAATATAATGTAATGATAAAGTTTGAAATTACAAACCGAGGCAATGACAATGAGTCGTCCTGCCCCTGAGGATCCACCAATGAGAGACACAATAAGACTTGGTGTGATGGCAATAGTCCGAGTCACCAAGTTCCTAATCCATTTTTTCATCTTCAGATCCAAGAAACCCTGTGGAACCAAACAAGGCAGTTAATTTCAGAAAGCAATACTTTATTATAATAGGAATGGGTAATAATAATAATAATAATAATAATAATAATAATAATAATAATAATGGGGGATAATGTAAGTTTTCATCCCTTGAAGTTGTCCCTGTTATCAATTTAACATTTGAAGTTTAATTTTTTATCAATTTAATTCCTTAATTTTATTTTAATTATTGATTTGATCTTTATTATTTAAAAAATAGGTTACATTGTTAAATTTTCTGACATGAATAATAAAATATTGATAGCAACCATTTAGATTAATAAAAATGAGCATAATTATTTAGGTAGGAAAAAACAGACTCTAAAATTTTAAAAAATAAGGGAGCAAAATACATTGTAAGGAATTATATAAAAATTAAACTAGTTTGAGGTTATTAATTTGTTCTTATATATATAAATATACATGCTAAATTATCAATATACTTTACATATTAGATTATTTTTGTATTATCTACAAGTATCTTTTTATTAAAGGTAATCATGTTTAAGGTACTGTTGGACACTAAATATGAGCACCTCTTTTAGGAGAGATTCAAACCTTTGTTCACTGTGCTGTAAGGGACTAATCCCTTTTCTAAACCCAACCATCATTAGTACTTTATACATTAGATTATTTTGAGAGTTAATTTACATTTTAAAACTTAAATGATTCAAATAATAATTTGAGAAAACATAAAGGATGGAATTAATAAAAATTATATAAATTTTTAGGAATTAAATTGATAATTAAGACAAATTCAAGAAACAAAAAATTTCATTATCTCTTGGGGATAGGATAGAATGATAAACATGGTATGGAATTACCTGCATGATGT